TGGATAAGATCTGAGTTAAGGCTAGTTAGGCAGAGGAGGAAAGTTTGCGAATTATTTAGGTCAGAAAACTGGCAGAGAGGCTGAGTAGGCACTTGGGAAAAAATTCACAACTTAGTCTTGTGAACTGCTTTCATGTTGGGCGTTTCCTTTAGGGTTCTGTTAGATCCTCACCTGCTTGTGAATATGCAGATTTTTGGTGTGCGTGTGGGGCTGCTTTACACCTCAGTGCCTCACTTTGCAAATTTAATTTCATTTCTTTCGAATGAATAGACTTGAATTGACTGTAGTTATGCCTACAGTCATTTTACAGTAGAGTTTCTATTGTGCTGTGAGTGGGATTTAGAAAGGCATTTCAAAAGTTTGTGAATATTCCATTTACCCTCCTTCTAATGGTTTTCTTTGTGCCAATTAATTCTTTGAATTCATCTGAACCTGAAAGCTCTAAATGGTTGTGAAATCTACCTGTATGGGAGATCCTTGCTTTGCTGATGCTTTGAGCCCAAGGTCTTGAATTAATTAGGGCCCTTTTATTTCAGAGGCAAGGCTGGCATTAACTGGTCCTGGGAAGTCATCATGGATGAAGACTCTGGGATTGCACTGTCTCAGAAATTGGATAGCCAGACTTTACATGAACATACCTTGTAAAATTCACATTAAACAAAACAAAAAAGGTTTATTTGCTTTTGACATTCACACATAATTGTAATGAAATACCTGAAATGTTAATGTGCTTAAACTGCAGTTTGAGTCTATTCATAATACTATTGTGAACACAACATACATAACTGTTTGCACAAATTTTGAGATTAAGGAAGAAAAATGAACAACAAAATTCACTGTGTAAGAGAAGGGGGGGGGGGGGGGAACAATCAAGGTGGCCAAACCAGTGCTGATTATCACTGCTTTGTGAGAGTTCATTATGAGTTTCTATTTTTTTTTTTAGGAGTGTCTCCCAGTAAAAGCCTCTAGTTTAACTTTTTCAATGGAGGTGGGCGTAGGGTAGAGATGGGGGCAGAGTCTTAATCCAGAGGGAAGGAAAGTCCCAGAAATGGTCTCCCCGGGGGAATACAAGCATAAAAACCCCGAAAAAGCAGAAGCTATTGCTCATACTTAAGACTGCCACAGTCTTATTTCAACAGCTATTTTAGTGTTTTACTAACCATGGCTTATTTAAAACCAGTGATCTGAAGGCATACAGGCTTCTTGCGCAGGTGCTCACTACGTGTTTGGTTTGACTTGTGAGCCAGGAGAGCTGCGGTGATGAGAGAGATGGGACCAGTTCTTCCAGCAGGGAGGGAGCCTTCCTTCCTAGGCAGTCTTCATTGCCCAGCTGGGTGATCTTAAACATGTTCTAGTGCCTCTTAAATTTTACAGTAGCTATCCTGGCATTCCTCTGGAGGTACTTCAGAAAATTCACTCTCTCTTATTCTGCTTGCTTCTTTGTCCTGAAAGCTTCATATTCACAGCCACAGACCAAGCAAAATATTTTCTTGTCTTGGAGTCTGTCATGCCCCTATTAAAAACTGAGATGGACTTTGTCATAGCCTTGATGCAGTTTGGGTTCAGTTGGTGTGGTTTTTTGGGGGGTGGAGGTTTTTTTTGGTTTTGTGTTTTTGTTTTTTGTGGTGCGTTGTATTTTGGTTTTTTTTTAGGAATGGGGTATATCTGAATTTTCCTAGCTTTCCAATTGTTCTGCCTCTAAGGTGCATTCTGGACAACCAATGTGGAAACAGACTCGAAAGTTTGATTTGCTTGGCAAGCAGGCGTTCTTATCTCTAAAAACTTAAGCCTTTGAGTCTAGGGACTCAACTCTTGTTTTGTATCTCATGTTGAAGACTAGGTTACATAGCAACCACTTCAGAGGATTTATTTCTTGAGGATGTATGTAAAACTGTTTCATTAATGAGAGCAAGAAATATTCTCATTACACTACAAGTGCAAGGTAACTCTGTCACTGCTAGGATTTTTATTAATGCGCTAGTATGTACCCATGGTGTGCATCCTTTGCAAAATATGCAATGCCCTGGAATTGTCCTTGCTGAGTTACGGTACCATGAATTACAGGATAATACCTACACCATTTGAGTTCCTTGGGCATATTTGAGGCTTACGATACTTACTCACGTATCTGAGATTTATCATTACCTTGGAAAGAGACTTTGAAGTAAATGAGTGCAGTTTTTTTTAATCTGAGAAGCAGACAAAAATGTGTGTGGTGAAGGAAGAGATGGGAGACAAAGGTGGGAAGCGAGTTATTTGCAATGGCCAGGAATGACTTCACTGTTCCTGCCAAGATGACTAAATGGATTACAGAAGAAAATATCCCACATCAAATATCAATTTTGACTTTGTTAGGAGACATTGTCTGCCAGCCTCACAGATCTAACAGATGGCAAAAGAAAAAGTTGTGTCTCCTACAACTATTTGTATGATATTGGGATTACTTTTGTAGTCAGCAGCGTATTAGTAGACTTTGTTGAGTGTCTTTGCGAACAAGACTAGGCTCTCCATGACTTCCATTAGTGTTGAGCATCCTTCTGTAAAAACCAGAACGAAATAAACTAAGTGCAAGCTCAAATCCTCTGTTAAATCAGACTTTTATTGAAAGAAATTAGGGTAATCTATGAAAGATGTACAAAGCAGCATATGCTTTTACT